TTAGGAGACTTCTGCCAGATTTTCTTTTCATTTATTCACTCATTCAACTCATTCTTTTTTGCTTTCACTAACTGATATAGTTATTGATAATCCTGGGGATGGTAAAAGTAAAGGCAATTTCTTAATTTTTTCTTTATGTTTTTCTGCTTTTTCCAAGTATTCTGTACTGAGCACATAATATGTTTGATATTAGAAAAAAGTAAATGCTAGTAATAAAAAGAATGTATTCATCTATTTCTCATGAGTAAAAATAAATACATTTATCCTAGAAAATAAAACCAAAGAAAAATATTTGTTTTCCTATAACTTTATTTATAATACAAAAACAAAAATAGCTTAAATGTTAGGTAATACTGTAAGCTAATTCAGACTTTATAATGTAAACAACAGATGTTCTGGTTATAAATACTACCCTTCTTTCTCCTTTCCTCCCCATCTCAATGAATGGAGCTACCTTACACTGAAAGCCCGAGGCAAAAACCTATGATTCATCTTTAATTGCTCCTACTTTCTCACCTCTACAAACACTAAAATCTCTTGATTCAACTTTCATAATAACTCTTGAATACATCTACCTCTAGCTATCTCCATTGTCACTACCTTAATCCATCATCTCAAACCCAGATTCCTGTAACTGTTTCCTAATTGGTATCCTTGCCTCCCTGCATCTGTTTGTCACACTGAAACAGAAATACTCTTCCTACAAGCAAAACTAATTGTTTTCATTCTTTGAGCAGTGTTTCCTAGGCCTTGTATAAGTGTTAGGGATGAGATGTGTAAAATACAGTTCCTGCTCTCCAAATGGCATGTCACTTTTAAAACCTCTCTAGTACTTCTCATAGTTCAAGCTCATAAATTTGAACCACAAGTTTTGTGATCTGGCCCTGCCTACCTCTCCAGACTCATCTTCAGACATACACCCCACCCAACCCTGGAACTCTGTGCTTTTTCCAGTCATAATTTTGCTAGCTGGTTTTAAAATAAGACTTTTGCATTTGTATTACCCAGATTTTAAAATCCATGCCCTTTTAATATCTGCTCAGTTGAATTTAGTTTCTTTAAACAAACAAGCAACCAACATCTAGAGTCCAGACCTTTCTTCTGAGCTACAGATTTGTATTTCTAGTTGCCTGATAGACATTTCCACTTGGGTGTCTCACAAGTACCTCAAACTTACATGTTGGAATTGTTCCTATAATTTTCCCTGTTTTCACAATCTCAGTAAACTGTATTACTGTCAGCTGAAGTGTTTAGGCAAGAAACCTGGGAGTCATCCTCGGCAGTTTCTTCTCCCTCACCTTTATATCAAATCAATCACAAATCCCTGTTTATTTTACTTCCTAAATATTTCTCATGCCTCTTCACTTAACGTCTATTCCCACTTCTACTACCTTAATCCATGTAACCACTTTCGTTAGCCTGGACTGCCAAAACCTCCTAGCTAGTCCTCCCACGTCTATGCTTTTTCCCTTCAGAGCACTGTCCACACATACCTGATCTGGCACCATATATTTACTGCTGTATTGGTCAGCTCAGGCTGCCATAACAAAATACCATAGACTAGGTGGCTTAAAAAATAGACATTTATTTTTTCATAGTTCTGGAGGCTGGAAGTCCAAGATCAGGGTGTCAGCATGGTTGGGTCTGGTGAGAGCTCTCTTCCTGGCTTGCAAGCAGCCACCTTCTTGAAAGCCCTCTGGTGTCTCTTCTTATTAGGACATTAATCCCATCATGAGGGCCCCACCCTCTTGACCTCATCTAATCCTAATTACCTTCCAAAGGCCACATCTCCAAATACCATCAGATTGAGAGTTAGAGCTTCAACTTATGAATTTTGGTCTGACACAAACATTCAGTCCGTAACAACTATATTTCTTTATTTTCTGTATTCTTGATGCTCTAGTATCTGGGGCCTCACTGACTAGTGAGAGACTGCTCCTCCCAGGGATAGCCAGTTCTTAGATATAGCAAGCAACTTACCCTGGACTGCACCCTTCGTATGGAAACTAACCAATCCAGAGCCCTTACTCTAAACCACTCGAATCTCTGGCTCATTACACGCCAGGAGGCAGTATTCCTCTGCCCTAATCCCCCCCGGGCCAGGTACCAGACAACTAGAGACAGCCCCTGTACCCCAGAGCCCACTGAAGTTATTCAAATTAGCCAATCCTAAACCTGCTTACCCACCCTTGCCTTGCCTTTCTCGAGGACACCACAATACAGGCTCTTGCCCACACTTTCCCTGCACTCCTTCTGCCTCCTGGCTGACCCTGGTGCTTACCCAGGTGGCCCTGTGTGGCATGGCATGCCCCCTTCTCTTGGGAGCGGTGAATAACAAACTATCTTTTCAGTGGCAATCCTCTCCTGATCAGTCGGCCTCCCCATACCTGAACGATAGTAAAACCTATATTTTAAAACACACCACTGGGCCGGCCCCGTGGTTTAGCGGTTAAGTGTGCACGCTCCGCTGCTGGCGGCCTGGGTTCGGATCCCGGGCGCGCACTGACGCACCGCTTCTCCAGCCATGCTGAGGCCGTGTCCCACATACAGCAGCTAGAAGGATGTGCAGCTGTGACAAACAACTATCTACTGGGGCTTTGGGGAAAAATAAATAAATAAAATTACTAAAACACACCACCACCACTGCTATGGACTGAATTTATGTCCTCTCAAAATTCACATGTTGAATCCCTAATCCCCAATGTCATGGTATTTAGAGATGGGGCCTTAAAATGGTAATTAGGTTTAGATGAGGTTATGAGAGTAGAGTCCACGTGATGGGATTAGCACTCTTATAAGAAGAGACCAGAGAGCTTGCTCTTTCTCTTTCTCCGCCATGTGAGGATACAGCAAGAAGGTGGCCATCTGTGAGCCAAGAAGAGGGCCCTCACAAAGAACCAAATCTGCCAGCACTGTGATTCTGGACTTCCTAGCCTCCAAATGTCTGTTGTTTAAGCTACCCAGTCTATGATACTTTGTTAGAACAGCCTAAGCTGATGAAGACAACTACCAGCTTAAACTTTTTCAATGGCTTACCATCACTTTTAAGATAAAATTAAGAATCTCTCTTAGCCTAAAACATTTTGTGTGATCTATTTGCTGCTTTTCTCTGCAATGTCATTTCCTATCCCTTCTCTTCATCACTAATTAAACTTCAACCACTTTGGCCTTTTTTCAGTTCTTCAAATTCCCTTTCTACCACAGAACCTTTGCACATGCTATTTCTGCTGCTTAGGGTTCTCGTCTTCCCCTCAGTCCCTCTTTACCTTAATCATATCTGCATATTTGTCAGGTCTCAGCTTATGTATCACTTCTTCAAGGAAGATTTTCATGACTCCCTAAGTTAGGATGCCTATTTTATGGTTGTGGTACTCTACACTTTTCCTTCATAGCACTTATTATAATCATAATTAATTTTATTTGTTCAGTTAACTGTTTAATGTCTCTCTCTAGTAAATGCTTAATAAATATTTGTTGAATCAATGCATAAAAGAATGACAGCAGTTATTTCAACTGCCTTTCATAGACTATATGGATAGGCCTTGGGATAATACAGAGAAAGTAGATCTTTTTTATGCCCCACCCTCCAAATATGTGGATAGATCCCCAAAAATGGGGCATTTAAGTACTCCAATACATTTTCGAAAGGCCAAATAGTTACACAAATATTTGCTAACACGTGAAAACTGAAATATGAAAATAAAAATGCAAAAGATGTTTAATGTAGAGCCAGTAGATCCTGGTTCAAAACTTTAAATAGAGGAATGTTGTGTATATCATAAAACTTGTGGTAGATTTATCTGCAGCATATCATGATACTGTACCAGTTTTTTTTTGAATATTTAAAGGTGATTCAAGTGAAAGGCTTTGGAGGCAACGTAATGTAGAGGTACGCTCCAGAGTCAGTTCAGAGTCTGGCTCTGTTACTTATTAGCTCTGTGATCTCGGACAAGTTACCTAAACTATCTAAACCTCAGTGTTCTCATCTTGAAATGGAGATAATAGTACCTACTTTAGAATTGTTGTGAAAATTAAATGAGGTAATGAATGTAAAACATTTAACCATAAGACCTTGCACTTATGCTATTTTCATTCTTCCAATAATTTACCAGAATGTATCACTTTACATAAGCTCTCTTCTTTCTTCCTAGAATGCCTTTCTCTACCACCCCATTTCCTTTCGTGCCACCACCTTCTCTGGCTTCTGTGTGACCCTTTTGTTGGAATTTTTACTCTATATTTAATTACATGTTTTTCATTCCCTCTATGTCACTGGACTGTGAATTCCTTGAGGGCAGTGACTGTCTTGTTTTCATTGTATCCTCAGCTCCTAACACATTGCCTGGCACATAGTACATATATTATTAAAGAATTAATTAAATGCATATTTAGTGAATAAATAAATTCTATAGGATTAGTTTAAGGATTAGAAATAACCTATCTACGACACATAGCTTAGTGTCCCACTTGTAGTTTAATACATAATAGCTATAATTATTATTATTGCTAATAATAATATTATTATTTTTCAGAGACATAGGTTACTTAGATTAATTAAGTGACTTCCTTGGCCATTAATATCTCTTGTACGTATATTAGTGGACATTCATCCATCTTATGTGCTACATAGGAAGGGAAAGAATTGCAAAAGAATGCTGATAGGACCCACAGACCTGTAGATGGTGGACATCATTCTTTCCTGGAGGTATGATATGATAGTTTGTGATAGCAAATGATCTGAGCTGCACAGTGAGTGAGGCATCCTACTTAGGTGTGCACATTAGGACAGATGGATGGATAAGCTTGTTTGTTCAAAAACAATAAACTGAATATACACACTCAGAGTAAATTAGATGGTGATAAGTATATAAAAGAATTAGTAAAAGATATTATATAATAAGAGGTGACCATCTTAATTATTCTGATGTTTTATTTTGATTTGCATAATAATTTCAACTCTACAATATTTAAGTCCTGTTATCTGTCTTTCTTTCTCATAGCTTTTGGATGAACTCCCAATGATTTACAGCTGTTGTATATTTGTGTACTGCATGTAAGTACTTATGTTTAAAATTCACTTGTTTGATATATTTTAAAATTTATGTTTACCTCATAGTGAATTAATATAACTAACCCACTTATGTGTCTGAGCGATTGTAATAGTGTAGAAGATTATCACTTTGTGATCTCAATGTAGATTATAATCTCTGGGAAGTTATAATAATGTTGTTTATTAACTTTTGTGATCTCAAAACCCTATCCCTGGGCCGGTCCTGTGGCATAGCAGTTAAGTGCATGCGCTCCGCTGCTGGTGGCCCAGGTTCGGATACCGGGTGTGCACCAACGCACTGCTTGTCAGGCCATGCTGTGGCAGCGTCCCTCATAAAGTGGAGGAAGATTGGCACGTGTGTTAGCTCAGGGCCAGTCTTCCTCAGCAAAAAGAGGAGGATTGGCATGGATGTTAGCTCAGGGCTGATCTTCCTCACCAAAAAAAAAAAAAAAACAGAAAAATCCTATAACTAATATAGATAGAATCTTACTTAAATTTGACTTAAATTGGATATTTTGCCTTTCCTTAAGTTATGAATGTATACAAATTTAGAAAAAGATTTATATATTATACCATAAAAATAATATTTATCTACTTTGTACCTGTAATTGTACTAGGCAGCACCAAGTAATCTCTAATTCTCGCAGTTGTACAAGATAAATGGGTGTCGTTCCCATTTTATAGGTGATGAAGCACAGAGAGGTTTAGGAACTTATGTATGGATATAAGCAGAGCTTATCTTAGGTGACTTGCCTAAGATCATGCAGTTAGGAAGTGTCAGAGTTGGAAATTGCACTACAAGTTTAATAATTTTACCTTCTAAGTATACCTTCTATTCCCTAGCACTTCTCTGAACCCCTTATGTGATGACTATCTGATTCTTTTCAATATGGTCATCACTGATAGCTCAAGAATACCTTCTACTAAAGATATGTAAAAATCAGAATAGTTTGAAAAAATATATTATTAAAAAGAGCTCATCTGAAACTTTTTCTGTTAAGGGCCAGATAATAATTATTTTAGGCTTTGTGGGCCTCTGGTCTCTGTTGCAACTCTTCAACTGCTGTTGCAGCGTGGAAGCAGTCATAGATAATATGTAAACAGATGGTTGTGACTATGTTCCAGTAAAATTTTATTTACAAAAACAGGCTTAGGCTGAGAAATTGGCCCTTGGGCTGTAGTTTGCTGCTCTTGATCTAGAAAAATACTTTCAGATGAGCTCTTATTAATAAGTCATCAAGTCACAGAGTTTAAAGGTAAAAGAGATCTTAGAAATCATCTGGGCCAACCACCTTTCTTTATGATAAGAAATAGGAGTTGTGTCCAATCCCCCCCTACAGCCAATTAATTAGTAAACTGAGAGAATTCTCCTGCTGCTTCTACCAAAACATAGGCTCAAAGGTTGGATATTTAATTGATGGCTAAATATTTGTTCATATTTCCTTATTCACTGAATATTTCCTGTGTATCAGACAATATCCTAGTGACTAGATATATGAAAAAAGATTTTATCCCTGCATACAAGGAATTCGCAGTCTGGTTGGGAAGACAGATAAGTAAAGAGACAATTACAATAGAATGGTATTTTCTATAATAGTGTGCCTTAGTCAGGGATCATTAGTTGCAAGATGTAAAAACCTACTCAAGCCCGCTTGAGTTAAGAGAGATTTACTTATTGTAAGGGCATGAGGAAATTATATAGAATCCAGTAGCAGGAAGGACAGCCTCACTAGAACTGGAAGGAAGGACAGCTTCTCTCTCTCTACCTCTTTTCTCCATTCCTTCCTCTCCACATAGTTTCACATCTTTATATCTGCTTTATTTTTCTCTCCCTGCAGATCACTTCTCTGCTCATTCATCTACTTGTTCATTCAATTTAGTTGCCCCAGATATCAGCATCAGATCTTGAATCCATATGGCTTTTATACTTTGACTCCACACTAAATAGATTCAGTCTCTGGCTCCCAAACTCCATGTTTTCAGGAGAGAGCCTCTTGTTGGCCGCATTTAAGTCAGGTGCCTACTTCTCGTCCCCCCAGCCTCTTGAAGGCTGCAGACAGTGCGGGTTCTCTAAGATGACAGTACGAGTGGGAGGAAATGATGGGCGTCACTGGGCCCAGAGGCATGTATGCAAGTGGTAACACAACATTTTATTTGTTTTCCTAGTTGTATATTCTACAACAAGTTGCTCTCTCTCTCTTTTTTTTAAGGTTTGAATGTTTCAAGATGAAGAACTCAGTAAACTATCATCTGCTTTTTACCTTAGTGCTCTTCAGTTTAATAGTAACCACAGTAAGTATATTTTGTTTCTAACAGATTAAGCGTGTGGAATAGCCAGTTATGGAGTTTGGCACATTTTGCTTCCAGGGTTTGCTTCATGCTTTTCAGACTGAAACGTTTCTACACAAAACTCACTTACATATATTGCTCCTTTGTTTTCTGTTTAGGTGTTAAAAAGAGTTGAAAAGTTGAAACAACTTTCTAAAAAATCTGTTTTTTTAAGGTATGAAAATGTCAAAAGGCAAATATTTAGTAGCAATGGAAAAAAATTAACTTTTTCTCATGGATGGACGTGTTACCTCCTATTTGTGAAAAAGAAAGAGATTAGCTCTGCTCTGTTGGGCATAGTATGACTATTTTAACCTTTTCCTAATAAGTTGAGATAACTAGTCACTTCTGATTCTACCCTAGTGCTTTTTTTCCTCAAGTGAATTGCATTTTATATTAAGAGATACTCATTTCAACAAACTTTTATTGCAAACCTACCATATCAGGCAGTAGAAAATACAAAGATGACTAAGAAGCAGTTGCTGTGCTTGAGGAGTACATTCTAGCAGGGAAGTCAAACATGTAAACAAAGAATTGCGTAAAAAGATAATTGCAGTAATAAAGGTAAAAACTAGTTATACAATGATGAGATGAAGGAGGATCGATGAAAATTGCTTGAACGGGTCAAGGAAAGCTCCAGAGAGGAAGCACTTGAGCTAGGGTTTAACTGATGATTAGGAGTTTGCCAGTGTCCATAGGCATAGAACCTTGGAACAATATAATGAATTATCACTTTTAAGTGCTTTCTATGTGCCAGATACTGTACTGAATACTTTACATTTGTTTTCTCATTAAATCTTCACTACCAGTAGAATTGGGAGAGATTTAATATGGCTGGAACAGATGTTAAGTGATGAGGAGTGAATGAATCGGGTGAATTAGACAAATGTCAGATTATAAAGACCTTTGTATAAAGACCTTTGTACGTCATGTTTAAGTTTGAATTTTTAGTCTAAAGTAGTGTGGAGCCATTAACTGGTTTAAAGTAGAGGAAAAACATAATTGGATGTGTGTTTTAGGCAGATTACTTTCGTTATAGAGGATGGATTAGAGGAGTTTGAGACTAGACCCAGGGACTTTTGCATTTGCCTAGGCAAGATATGAGACTGAAACTGAAGTAAAAGAGGTGTGGGGATGAAAAGAAGCTGTCATAAATAACAGTCTGTAGGACTTGTGACCCACTAAATAGGGGGATGGGAATGGAGTAAAAAGAAGGAATTGTCTAGAATGACTCCTTAGTTTATGGCCTGGCTGTCAGGATACATAGTAGGTCCTTAGTTAAGATAGAAAACTTGGAGGAAGAGCAGATTTTGCAGGAAAGATAATGACTAGGTTTGTGCCATGGGATGGGGTAGGTAAGTTCCATTGGGAATGTGTTGAGATTTAGGTGCCTGATATTAAGGATATCTGAGGCTTAACAGGTAGCCCGGACTAAAGATGTGGATTTGGGGTTGTCAGGGGTAGGTCGTACTAGAAATGTGGGAATAGGTGAAGTGGCACAGAGATAGCAAAGGCCGTTAAGATAACCAAAGATAGAACCTCATGGAACACTTTATTTTTTTAAGAGATAAACAAAACAGTATACATTCATGATACTATATCCTAAAAGTTACAATTGATTTGTCTGTTTGACATTCAAAGCCTGTCAGTATGCAAATTCTTATGGTAAAATTAGGATACCTCATTTCATAATGCCTAAGGATTTCAATAGGAATCAACATTTTTTAAATAAAAATTATATACATTTAAGATGTACAACATGATGATTTGATATACATAGTGAAATGATTACTACAGTCAAGCTAACCAATATATCTTCTCACATAGTTACCATTTTTGTGTGTGTGATGAGAGCAGCTGAAATCTACTCTCTCAGCAAATTTCCAGTGTTCAGTCAAGTATTATTAACCATCATGCTGTATGTTGGAACACTGACATTTGAGGGGCAAGTGGAGGAAATGAAGCTAGCAAAGGAGACTGAGAACAAGTAATCAGAGATGTAGGAAAACTCAGCCTGATGTCACAGATTACAAAGACATTTCTAGAAGGAGAAACAGTATTAGTTGCCTCTGAGAGGATGAGTAAAATGAAGATTGAGGTTTGACCCATAAAAATTTCAATTAAAAGACCAAGTAAACATAATAAGGATATTGTCAGCAGTAGACTGATGGAAGCAGAAGCTAGATTTCAGGGAGTGGAAAAGGGGAGTAGGAGGTTGCAGGAGCACATATACACTATTTTCTTATGCTTCTACATTGCCCTGCATGCTCCTTTGCATAAACTACATACTTGTTAATCATGACAGAATCCTAGAATTTCAGAGGTGAAAGGAAGTCTTGTTACTGTATAAAAGAAAAGAATAAAGCCCAGAGAGTTTTAGTGACTTGTCTGGCCAACCAAATTCATATGGAGAATTGGTAGCAGAGTCGAGACTAGACCCCTTTGTAAGTTAAGAACTGATGTGGTTGGAAACATAGGCTTGGGAGTCAGTCAGATCTGAGTTTGGACCAATACTGTTACTTAAGAAGTGGGACCTTGGGCAAGTTACTGAATCTCTCTCTGCTTTAGTTTTCCTTATCTGTAAAATGAAGATAATAATAGCATACATTTCATATTAGTTGTGAGAATTAATACCTGGCACATAGTAAGGACTCTATAATTCTTTGGCCTAAAAAAATGTCTTTAAGAGGCATGCCCTTTTGCATTTATTTTATTAGTAACAGTGGGAATCTGAAACTATGAAAAGAGCAATTACTATTTTGAAATAACAAATTTCAGAGATTAAAAGCATTCTTCCTTACTGAGTTTAGAGTTGCAGATAAGTATATAATGTCTATACACGTCTTACTATTAAAGCTCTATGAGTGCTTGCTTAAAGGAAATAATCTGCCCTTGTCGTAGTGAGGGTAGGAACTTCCTCCAGAAATAAGAAATTCTGTAGCCAAATTATAAAATCATGTAAAATTTTGTGAAATCAGCAATACATTAAATGAGAATATGGAGATATCTGAGCACAGTCCTTGCTGTCAAGGAGATTACAGCCTCATAGGGGAGAGAAATAGGAACCTAATAAATGCCATGAAGTTTATACCTGGTCAGTGAGGGTACAAAGGAGGGCAAGTGGTTGCTTCTGCTAAATAGAGAAGGGATCAGAAAAGGCTTCAAGGAAGAGGTATAGATTGAGCTGAATCTTGAAAGATGAGTGTTTGCCAGCAGGGGAGGATTTCTGAACAAAGTAAAGAGCAGCACGTTTAAAGTTACAGAAGCGTGAAACTAGCACATTTGGGGAAGCACTGTATGTTCTGGAGCCTAGGATGAAACAGACAAGAAGAGAGCAAGGAGGCCAAACAGAAAGGCAGAAGCAAGATACATTGAAGGCTTTGAAATTTGGACTTTGTCTTGTAAGTGATGAGAGTCATTTCAGGGTTATGATTTGCATTTTGATTCCTCTCTACAATGTTATTTTAAAGGTGTACTCCTATAGGGCAGTAAATGCATGCTAAATCTTAAATAGGCATTGAACTTAATCACCCCCATGACCGTGGAGCCTAAAACTAGCGTTTGTGTAACTGGGAATGCATCAAGGTGAGTGAGTTAGAGGTTTTTGGAAGCAGAAGAAAGCACAAGAAATTAGTTTTAAATATTTTCACTTATTGAGCACTTATTATATGCTACACTTCTACATATTTTAGCTTATTATTCCTCACTACTGTTATTCCCGGTGTCCAAATAAGGGAAAATGAGTCTTTTGCTTAAGTGACTTGCTCAAGGCATGTAGCAAGTAAGTGGCAGAGTCTGAAATTTAACTCCTGTCTCTAACTCTAAGTCCAGTGTTCTTTCTACTGTAGAACAGATCTGCTGTACAGATTGTCAGCATAACCTCTTCAGCCCTCATGAGTATCCATCCGTCTTTGCCCCTCCTTGATTCTGATGCAGAGGCCAAGAAGCCAGAGTAATCCACAACGGCTTTGAAACATTGAGTTTGCCATGGTAAACTAGCACTGGGGGATACCCACCTGTGGGTACTAACCCTTCTGTAGCATGCCACCTAATCTGATTGGTTTTACATGGCTGGAGTCAGATCTAAGTAGCAGGACTAGGGAAGCAGGAATTGTACTTGGGATTTGCAGAGTTGTTGTTCCCTCTCTGTAATGCGCTTCATTCACATGTGTTTCTTTTAATATTTTGCAGGTTTACCTTAAGGTAAAGGAGCCTGTATTCCATCAGGTAATTTTTAAAAATTATTATACATTTGATTGTTTAACAATACTAGCTGCCTGTGTTTTCCTTTTCTAGTAAGTTATATGCAGATACAACTTCTGAAAATGAAATGGTAGATGTCCTTCAGTGTTTAAAACAGAGGTTGCAAACTCAAGTGCCTCCAGGAGCCAGGTGTGGGTAAAAGGAGTATACCCAGGACAGCCAGTGCCCAGGCCCAGCCGACTGTTGGTAGTCAGTAATGCAGGTGCAGCATTGCTCTCATCAGCAGAAATAACAGAACACATTATGCACATACACATGTAAAATCTTTTTTATGAAATTATTTTCTAGAAAATATAGACTGAAAATTCCTTGAATATTTTCCCCCTAATGCGTATTTTATTAAGTTTTTTGAGGGGGGAGGTTATTTAGATTGAGGGAAGCTAACACAGGAAACTTTGCTGTAGGAAATAATGATCTAAGTGCATCTCATAATGAAACCAGAGTGAAATAAAGTAGCAGAACCTAAATAAAGAAAGCTATTGTTTATTGAGTGCCACCATGTGCCTGGCACTACACTCATTACTACACAGACTCAGATCTCCCCAGCAGTCCTACAAATTAGGGATTATTGTCCACATTTTAACAGAAATGAACTCAGAGATATTACGTAATTTGCCGCAGGGTTACATAGTTATTACAAGGCAGAGCCAGGATTGTAACCTAGATTTGTTTGACTCCTGTCACCTAGATTTGTTTGACTCCTGTCACCATTTTTTCAACAAATAGCAAACAAAAATAAATAAATAAATAAGCACACATTTCAGGAATATCAGAGGCTTTGTAGTTTTAGAATATTTTGTGCTTATATAAAAAGTAAATGTTCTGTAACTTTTTCAACTAGACTATAATCATCTAACTGAAATCTGTTTTTGAAATAAATTCTGAAACCACATTATTGTGCCTTCCTTTTCTAAAGGCCAGCTGAAAGTAGATGCACTAAAGTAGATGTCACAGGAGAGGACATCCAAACTCTGCTGTTTATCATAGCTTGAAGTGATGTCATTATGTAATTACCCCTTTATTTAGAAAGATTTATTGACACAATGTAAAAAATGAAGTAAGTTTATTTATATGAAGAATACTTCAGTTTTTATGAATTTCTTGTTTGCCTGTACAAAAAAGAAAAATCATAACCATAAAAAACCAAAATTTGGAAATTTTAGGTTAAGTTTTGTGGCTTATATCCTAGGCCTAGAGATTACAAATCAGGATAGAGAAGTGAAGAAGGAGGGCAATGCTCAAGTAAGTTGGATAAGCAATCTGAGGGTAGAAGACATTCATTCATTCAACAGATATCAACTGTGTACATTCTCAGTACCAAATTCTGAGCCGGAAGTTGGAAATAGAGGGGCAGTAGAGCAAAGACTTTAAAATCTAAAGTCAGGCAGACCTGGATTCAAATCTTGTCTCTCCACTTGCTGGCTGTATATCCTGGACAAGTTACTTAACTTATTTGAGCTTTGGTTTCCTCATTATTCAACAAACACTTTTTAACTGCCTTCCAATATGCCAGATGCTGTACTAGACACAGGAGATATACTAGTGAATGAAATAACGAGGTCCCTGCTCTTAAGGAGCTTATCATACTGTATCTCTAAAATTGGTACAGTAATCTCCTAAGGTAGTCTGAGGGTGAAATTGAGATAATGCATATAAAACCCTTATCACATAGTAAACACTCAGTGAATGTTAACTAAGATTAATTTACCAAGGCAAATAAGACATGGCTGCTGGTCTCAAGGAGCTCACTGTCTGGTCAGGAAGATAGACTTGTAAAAAAATATTTGTAGTATATATGTCTTGTAATGCATATGCAAAAGCAGTGCTAATGTAGACAGGCACACAGTCTCCCTCCTTAGATGACTCAAGATAGGATTACAAAATACATTTATTGCATATAGCTACATTATTACTTACTCTGGTACTGAAAAACAAGTTAGGGAAAATGGCCCACTATTGTGATACAATAGTATTTCTCGCTACTTTATTTGGAAAGGCCTTTGCCTCAGATGTCTAACCTAGAATTTTCTATGCTGATCTGTTAAGTAGTTAGAATTGATATTTTCCGTTTATACTTATGGCTTTAAAAAATCTATCCCTGATTATTTTCTGAGTATCGTTCTTAAGAAAAAAGAACTACTTTTTCTGAGAATCTTCTGTTTGTCAAAGTTTAGAGTATTGCTCTCATTCTTTCATATAACTGTTGGTATTCTTATGTACAGAAACTTAGAAAAATTCTTTGGAATTTGTGGCAAGATTTATAATAACTTTTAAGATCTTTAAAATAATGGAAAAAGAGGGAGAAGCAATGTTGTCTAGCCTAGAGGAGCTCTGGCTTGTGAGTTTAGAATCTGGATTTCTTACCACTTTGATTTCTTGAGGTTTGGAATCTCGGTTTCTTGCCACTTAGTTATCCATGGACAGATTACTTGCTGTGCCTGTTCTCATCTATAATACCCGTATCCTCATCAGGAGAATGTTCAAAACAAGGAGAGGTATTGTTTCACAAGGATAGTATAAAAATAATTAATATAGGATAATGCAAAGCACAAGGCAATAAACATAGTAAGACAGTGTGATACTAAAAGTACATATTAAGATATAAGATGACATGCATAAATTTCTGCCTATGATAATCATGGAAAGCTCCTAAAAGGAGATGTTTGAGTTGGGCCCAGAAAGATAAGTATGTAGTGATGTACAATTAGAAGGAAAGAGTTAATAAACACTTTAAAAGTATCTGTCACAGCCAGGATGATTGTCTTGCTAATCAGATTAGCTTCCCTGAAGGAGACAATACTGATAACAGTGCTACTTTACTGTATTAAATCCAAGGTGATCCAAACATCTCCAAAGAAAACCAAGTGCTGTTTGTTTAATTTGATGGCCTTGCAAAGGGTAATACTCAAATCACATAGCTGCTACATTCAATAGAAATGCCAATATACCTTAAGCAAGAAAACAAAAAGAAAAGCACACATGAGGATAGATTAAAAGAACATTTAAGAAGTTAGTGAACCCTCTTTAAGCAGCTAATTGACAAATCAGTAATTGAATATCTCAGATGAGATCTCATCTAATGTCTCAAAGAGTACTGTTGCTTAAAATCTTCCTGCCAAAGTAGATGTCTCCTAAAGATTGTTTCTAGACATGACCTGTTAGTATTTTATTACTTTCCCTTCCAATTTGACCCTCAAAGTTTGCAAGAAAGAACACACTATGTAAACAATTTGAAAAGTGGAAACTTAAGCAGATTTATTTGAATTTTATTCTATTATGCTTCATTTGTGCCATTTTATTACAAATTAAGGATGTAAGAAAACTGCTATGTAAGCACACTTGGAAAAGAAGCAAAGAAAGCTAACATTTTTTAGTATCTGCTATGTGCTAAATATTGTGTATTCTGTCATATAGTTTATATTGACTTACCTATTATCTTACTAAAATATCAACCAACCCTTTTAGAAATTATCTTCTTCATTTTATGGGTGAGATAGATAACTGAGAGTCAGAAAGGTTAAGTAATTTGCCCAATGTTTCTCACCTAATTAGTGCAGAGCTAGAAATCGAACCCAAGTGTTTTTATTCCAAAGCCCATATTCCTTCCATGATATGATGATGCCCCTATAGTAGAATCTGCACTTTGGAACCTAATTTATTATCAGAAAGATTCATTTTTAAAAAGAATGAAAAATGCTGTTTAGATTTTACTGCCATGATGAAATTATTAGAAAAAATGTGAAGACTGAATATGTAAAACTTAGGTAGAGCTATGCTTTACTTTTAAGTAAGCCAGAATTCAGTTATCAACTTTAAAAACTGCCCCAAATCAAATATAAGTGAAGTACTTTATGAATAAAAATAGATTAAGTAATTTCTAGAGAAGGATTTCAGCAAGGCTTCACACAGGAGATGACTGAGCAGGATTTATTTGGCCGTAGAACTCTTTTTTTATACAATATCTCTTAATATCTCCCAGCACACTGGTATTCTGGGAGATACTATTTGGGAAATCCTGTGCTGAAATACAAGATCCTGCAGAACATAAGAAGAGAAGGGAAAACTGGACCAGATTGTGAAGCACTGGATGTCATGTGAAAGTTGGGATATTACAGCTTTTGCCATTGAGAGAGGCATGACATTATAAGAATCTGTTTCAGATACTTCTGGCAGTTGTGTGTAGGATGGATTAGAAGGCTGTATAGTTTTCGCAGAATTAGGATTTTAAACCATTTCCAAGTATCTACAAAAGCTTTGTTTTTACCAGTAGACCTCATTGCCTTATGAGACTTGTGAAATTGTTTTATAGTTATAAAGTAATATCTACGTTTAGCTCATTAGTATTTAAACTATCATCTAAATATGTAGGAAGCACCAACCTTTTAGTCTTATCATATGAGAGTAACTTATATTAACTCCCAGAATAAAATGCCTCTTACATCCCTATTTTGACTATAATTATAGGAATATGAAACCACAGTCACCTGGTTCAGTCCCTTCATTTTACAAATGGGAGTCCCAAGACCAAGATAAGTGAAGTGACTTGTTCAAGGTTATATAGTGAGGCAGTAATCAGATGGTAGAAAAGTCTAGATCCCCCAACTGCAGCCCTTGGCGTTTTCTCTTAGAGGTTATTTACTATGTTTGGACAATTGATTGTCATTAATATAATGAGTGAGTCCTTTACAGACTCCAAATGCCTAAATCCCATTACCTGTCACCACCACAGGTTCCCACTCACTGGGGCTTTATCCACAAATCCCTACCTGATCTCCCACTCTGATGAACTGTTCTTTTTTTAACTTATTTAATTATTTTATTGAGATCATATTGGCTTATAACATTATGTAAATTTCAGGTGTACATTAATATATATCAGTTTCTGTATAGGCTGCAGTGTGTTCACCACCAATAGTCGAGTTTTTATCCGTCACCATACACATGTCCCCCTTTGCCCCTTGGTT